TTATGAATGTGGGTGTGGGGGGGTGGGGGGCGGGTATGGGGTGTGTGGTTGTGTGCATGTTTATAGGGGGTGTGGTGGTGTGTGGTCGTGTAAGTGTGAGGTCTCTGTGTGCGGGTGTGGTTGTGTGCATGTGTGGAGTGTGTGCATGTGTGTGTGGGGAGTGGTTGTGTGCATGTGTGTGGAGTGTGTGCATGTGTGTGTGGGGAGTGGTTGTGTGCATGTGTGTGGAGTGTGTGCATGTGTGTGTGGGGAGTGGTTGTGTGCGTGTGTGGGGAGTGTGTGCATGTGTGTGGGGGTGTGGTTGTGTGCGTGTATGTGGGGGTGTAGCCATGTGCATGTATATGGGGTGTGTGTGCATGTGTGTGGGTTGTGTGTGTGTGAGTGTGGGGTGTGTGGTGGTGTGTAGTTGTGTGCATGTGTGTGGGTTGTGTGTGTGCATGTGTGTGGGGGGGTGTAGTTGTGTGCATGTGTGTGGGTTGTGTGTGTGCATGTGTGGGGGGGTGTGGTTGTGTGCATGCATATGGGGGTGCATGTGTGTGGGTTGTATGTGAGTGTGGGGTGTGGTGGTATATAGTATGCATGTGCGTGGGTTGTATGTGTATGAGTGTGGGGTGTGTGTTGAGTGTGTGGTTGTGTGTGTGATGAGAGATAAGTGGCTGAGAAATAACTGATTGGTTGGTGGGAAGCGAGAGGACAGACACACCTGGTGGCCCCCACGGGACTCGACTCTGCAGATCCTCAGTGGAGAAGTGTGGGTGTCACTGTCTTTCCCACAAGCCCCCGCGCTCCTGGCCGGCATTTCACCCGCCTCCGGGGACACTGGCCTCACTGGAGGCGCCTTGGGGACCCTGTGCCCGGTCATTTCGGGTCCTGCCCTCCAGCGAGGTCCGTGCCGCATCTCAGCTTGGGGTGAAGACTTTCAAACAGGCGCCCCGCCCCCCACACTTTCAACGGACGGACACGCGGCTCAGTGGCCCAAGCAGTGACGTCGGCTGCAGTTGTGCCGGAGACGGACACGGCGCTGTGGCTCTGGATGGGCACAGACGCGCTGTTAGGACCTGCGTTTTGGGGCTGAGTCCCCCAGCGCAGCAACACGCGGGCATCGTCTCATTTACCCCGAGTCCTCACCTTCCTCCTGCGAGGCGCGGAGCTCCCAGCAGCCGGGGGAATATCGCCCATTAGGTGCCCACAGCCCCTGCCGCCACTGACAATAGGCGGGAGCGGCCCGGCCCGAGGTCCACAGCAGAGGGGGCAGCACACAGCTTCCCGCCCAGCATCGCCTCTAGGAGTTTGTGCCACGTGCGGTCCCTCAGCGACGCTGTGAGAGGAGGGGGAGCTGCCCTCAGCAATTAGAAATCGTAAAATACTAGTAGCTTCCCACCGTTAGAGAGGCAGCTGTGAAAGGACTGTCTTCCTTGGTGATGAGTCCCTTAAAACACTCACGCTGAGGCCGCTCACGGCAGGTGGAGCAGGGCTCACCCGCGGCACGGGGGTGGGGAAGGCACCTGTGTGCGTCGGTCACTGCCCCTCGCGGCCGGCCGGTCGCCCTCTCCTGAACGGGCCGGAGCGTCTGCCCG